AAATCTCCCGGCACAGCAGAACAGATGATGGTTGGAAAAAGGAAAAATAGCAATTTAGCAGGCAAGTTTACCAGGTAAGGAGAGAGTGGGTGGGGAGGGTTCCCGTGGGCCATGTGGGCCGCACAGCCTTGTGTTTCTGTGCAGCCTGGATTAATTACTTTGTGGAGGTGCTCTGGGGGTGAGATTTCTCTGTGGCCCGCTAAAATTTTCTCACAGCCCACCAGTGGGCCACAGCCCACCGGTTGGCGACCGCTGGTTTAGACCAGGGGTCTCCAACCTTAGCAACTTTAAGCCTGGTAGACTTCAACTGCCAGAATTCCCCAGGCAGCAAAGCTGGCTGGGGAATTCTGGGAGTTGAAATCCACCAGGTTTAAAGTTGCTAAGGCTGGAGACCCCTAGTTTAGACAGAGCTTGTTCTACGTCTATACCCAGAAAAAAGCAACGGAAAGGAAGAGGTTTGCATCCACTTCCAGATAAAGTTCACTAAGGTTTGAAATTTGTGGAACAGTCAGTGAACATTACACTTGAGCAGGGGTCCTCAATTCCTGGGCTGCAGATCAGTTTTGGTTTGTGGTGGGTTGGAAGCGAGCAGCGGGTGAGCATACATGGTATCTTGGTTGCATGTTCTTCCGCCCCCGGTGGTCCATGGAAAAATTGTCTTCCACAAAACTGGTCACTGGTGCCAAAAAGTTTGAAAGCACGTGTTGAAACACTAGAGTGGTGTCTCTCAGCCTTGCAAATGGAAGATGTGTGGACTTCAGCTCCCAAAATGCCCCAGCCAACATGCTGGTTATGGAATTCTAGGAGCTGAAATCCACACATCCCCAAATTGGGGCCGTCGAGAGACATAGCGCTAGAGAGTCCATCAATAAAGCACAGATCCAGGATTGATCCTTCAACCAGTGGCAAAACTGGTAGCAATTCACCCCTGCTTCTCATTCAAGAAGCTTCTTTAGTTCATTGATTCAGTTCCATTGAATTTTTTTAAAAAAAAACTTATTGCACAAAGGAGCGTTATAGATCAGTGATAGCCCTGGCTTTAACCCATGTATTTTTTGCTGTTCAGTTTTTCTAGGCCCTTGCTTAAAGAATCTACCTTTTCTTTCAATTCCACCAAACAGCAGTGTAGCCAGGGATAAAAACCCTTAAAAACTAAGATTCCCAAATATTTGGCCTGTGCAATACAAATATGGAAGAAATAGTTCAGTTATACCTTGGATTTAATATGATGGTGGAGAAACTGGAACTTGAGGTCCACCTGACTCTTGTAGGCAGATGTTATTGGAATTTTCTGGGAAGCTGATCCATGATTTTCTAGATTCACTTCAGGCTGTTGTCTTTTAAAGCCAGGGTTGCTAGCATAAACCAGAGACAGAATCAACACCCCCACCACTGTGGTTACTGCAGAGGCCAACAGACAAACCAGAAAGACATGGAGAAGAGACCAGTGGCTCTTTTTCATCTTTAGGGCAGAAAGAAAGAAAAAGGAAGAATTACAAAGGCAACTGTGTAAAACTGGGTCACAACAATATTGTTATATTTCTGCTACGTCTGCATAGCTGTACCAACGTCCATATTTTCTAGGGCATGTTATCATTCCGCTTTTTTTTTTTTGAATTTATACAATTCATGCACTATACAGAATTAGAGCATATAATATTGGCACAAAATCAATGACATGGAGACTGATAAGATTCCCTGAGTTATGTTTACTAGAGCAGGTAAAATCACAATCACAAATCTCCTGGATCGCCAAACTGACAAATTTTGTAAGAAGCTGTCGCCTTACTGTCTCTTGCATAACAGGGGAATGATTTAAAAAAAAGAGTTGCCCAAAGAATTAAGGATATAGAAGCACAAAATGATATAGCTATCCTTAGTAAGGTGGGTAATTTGAAATGGCTGAGCAAATACAAATGTACTTTTCAAAATGTACACCTATTTAAAGTTACAACTGCCAAAACATCTTAGGGAGATAGCTACACGAGCGAGATTCGAACAGCTTGACACGATATGACAGATTCTATTTTATGCCCTATAACCGACGTCTCTGCATTTGCGGAGCAGCGGAGGTAAAAAAAACCTGGCTTGCATCCTATTTGATTGTTGCCTGTATAAGAGGATGAGAGACAGATACCTTGGTTTATGTACTAAATGAATGACCCATTGGGATCCCCATATCGAAACAACTTACCTTATGTGCGGCCAGAATCTGAAAATAACATCTAATACAGCACAGTACTTGAGCAAAATGGTTTGGTTGAGATCGGCATATGTGGGACTGATTGGGGTAGATTGTAGGGGGGATATTGAAATATAATTTTATCATATTTTATTTATATATTAAATTACTGTATTTTATTCCAATTTCAGTTTAAATCGTATTTTATCTCAATTTTATTTTAAATCGTATTTTATTCAATTCCATTTTAAATTGTTTCTATCAGCTTTTGGTAATGTTGTGTCTGGAACTCTGCACTTTGATATGGCCCAAGGGCTAATCAATAAAGTAAACTAACTAAACTAATTAACATTCATTTGGGTATATTTTTGATAAAATATACCCAACCGAATCAAATCATCCACCATCATTTATTTAACAATGAATTCAGATGTTTGAAAGGGAAGTGATGTTTGAAGCATCAACATCTAAAATTAAGATCCATTTGGAGTAGTAGTTAAGGCACCAGGCTGAAAAACTGCAAGATTGTAAGTTCTTGCCCAGCCTTAGACACAAAACCAGCTGGGTGACCTTGGGCTAATCACCCTATCTTCAGTCCTTGGAAGGAGGCAATTAAAAAAACCACTTCCGAAAAATCTTGCCAAGAAAACTGCAGGGACTTGTCTAGGCAGTTGCCAGGAATCAACACGGACTCAAAGGCGCACAGGAGACTTTTACTTCCCGTAAAAGTGGCAGGTTTTGTTCTCTCCTTTTCTTGCAGGAAGTAAGAATTTTCTGAAGAATTCAGCTTAGGAGAAAAGGAAAGGTGTAGAATACTTCACTGTCCCTGAAGGCAGCATCTGGAAAGCCAGAACTGTAGACAGACCTGACAGGACCTTAATTAGTTTCACATACTTATATGTGGCACGGATCGTGAAGATGACAGAATTTGTCAAGATGCCTAAATTGACTTGTTTGATTAGGGAAGAAGAAATAACTACTTTTGCAAAAGACTGGGAAGCCTTTATGGTTCTTTTCCCTGAAAATGATGAACTCTGGATTTACTCATTAAAACTTCTCTGGGAAGTAGGGAACATTGGCAATTCGGAAGAGAAGAAACTGTATTAATTATGTTTATTACTGCTGCAAAAAAAGATTAGAAGTCACTTCTTTAAATACTTCTTTTTTCCTCCTCTCTTTTCAGGACCTACACTGTTGTTCACTTTTTCTTCTGTCATTCCTATTTCTCTCTATATATAGCCTTTCCCCTCTTCTTTTCTACATTCTTCTTATTTTTCTGTAGCTTCTAAATTTGTAAAACAAGAATCTTTAGTAAAAAATTACATGTGTGAAAATGGACATAGCTTTGACAACACCATCATGACTGCTGTCTTGACTTTCTGGAACAAACTCTGTGGACTTGCTGGATGGAAAAGATATACATGCAGAGAAGAGCGACAAAATGGTAAGGGGTTCTGGGAGCTAAACTATACGATGAATGATTGAGGGAACTAGGTGTGCCTAGTCTAGTGAAGAGAAGGGTTAAAGGGGAGACATGATAACTGTCTTCCAGTTATTGGAGGGGCCATCACAGAAAAGAGGGGTTCAACCTATTATTCTACATGGCACCTGAAGGCAGAACGAAGAGTAATGGGCGGAAGCTTGTTAAAGAGAGATGCAAACTAGAAACATGGAGAAATTTCCTGACAGTGAGAACAATTTAGCAATGGAATAGCTGTGGATGCTCTATCACTGGAGGTTTTCAAAAATAGAGTGGACAACCATTTGATTGGGGTGATGTAAAATCTCCTGCCTTGAGTCGGGAGTTGGACTAAGACCCCCCAGTTACAGCCCTATGAATCTATGTTCTATCAAATTGGCAGCTCTGAAAGACAGTGAAGTAACAGGCAGCTTTGTTGCTGCAATGATCAAAGATAACATTGATTGATGGGTTTGGGAAACAAATCCATTGCTTTACTCAAGAAAGGAAAGTTCTTCTTTTCCTCTTGCTTTTTAGCTTTGACGTTCAGCTCAATCATTGAATTATCTTGTCCTAACCCAGCTGGCTCAATTTTCTAAGTAAAGTACAGCATGTTTTGAGTTAATACCTCAAACAAATATTAATTCTCTCTGCCTTTTTTCTTTTTTTCCACTGTGGAAGAAAAGTTAATAATAAATTAATCAATATTAACTTTGTAATATCCAAAGTTGTCTAGACACACCCTTAGCCAGACAAGTTTTATTATCTGCCTGGCCCTGAGATGGATGACCTATTTTAATGATAGTTACTGAGAAACAAGCCAGCTTCATAATTTATGAAAAATGCCCGAATGGCATACTAAGATAAAAGTTGAAAAATGACATAAATATATATAAACAAATATATTTATTTAATGTCTTTCTTGCATACTCTAAATCAGAGGTGTCAAACTCGTGGACTGCGGGCTGGATGCGTCATGCGCTGGCCACGCCCAACCCAGTTTAGTGAAGGGGGGGCGGAAGTCACAATACATCACTTGATGACGTGACACCACAAGTTTGACACCCCTGTTCTAAATGCTCCTGCAACTCAGTGGGAAGAGCCAACTTGTATGTGTGGGGCATGTAAGATAGGTTTCCCTCCCACAATCTTGTGGGTTTAGCTTGTCATATGAATGGTATGAAATCATGATGATTGTTTTCATCAAACATACTTCCCTTAATCATACCTAGTGTTTTCATTAACCAGAGTTATAGTGTATGAATTTTATTTAAATGGATCTAACAATCTAAGACAAATTCAGCTAACTCTTGCCATGAATCTGTCCGTTTGCAATGCATAGCACTATTGCTTATTATACCCTGTGCAGGACAAACGTATGTTCACATTATGGAAATTACTTTTCATCATGTTCTTTTAAAAATCTGAAAGCAACTTCAGAAGACCTCTCAGAAGACCTAACTACTGAATTGCCCTTTTCAATAGGATGAGAAATGCTACTTTTTAGAGTTCGGTCCAGCGAACAGTTTCTCTGGATTAACTAGAAATGAGGGAGAAAATATAATGTCTAGTTGTGCATCCTCTAGATTTTATACTTCCCCACTCATGTTATAATGCATATTTTTTCTATTAATAACTAATGTAGCTTTCTAAATATTTTACAAACATTGTAAACTATTGCAACTTACATGACATTCTTGTTTAATCTTTTCTGGCTTGGAGAAGTTGCTTGGAGGTGCTTCTTCATTGAGCTCAAATCCCAAATTATCCATTTTGTATTAGCAAAGTACAATTTTGCCTGAATCCAAAGGAGGGAGGAAAAAAATATCTTGGTCCTATCACCAATACTTCTATAGATGAAGAAGGCAACAGGTTTTTATTTTATGATAACTGCTTGGTAATGAAAATGTCAGTGTGAACATGAATGCAAATGAGGACATCCCCTTTTTCAGCAGAACAATTTATAGCAGGAAGGCTTTCATAATGACTAATCTATTTCTAAATTTGGCTATGAGTTCTGTGGTTCCAGAAAACTGGTTCTAGGATGCCTTACGAGGGGTTGGCTTCAGGTGAGCTCTTTGGAAAAGAACCTATTAAAATTGTACTGCTGAAGAAGCGGTCTTTCCACAGACCAGTGGGAATGATTCTCCTCTGTCCTTTGTTCTGGGCAGAATAAAGCTTTGGCATATCTCCCTCTTGGTGTGTGGTTTATTGGGAGTTGCACACTGGGAAGAAACAGCTTTCTAGGACAACAATTTTGGGGGCTCATCCAGGATCTGCCACTAGGCCTTGTCTGGTTCTCTTAACCAGTGTTGTGGTTCGCCAGCAACCGGTGCAGCTGGCAGTGGGGAATCAGACAATGGGGAAGAAAGGAGATCAATCCGGGAGTCTGGAGAGGACTCAGATGAGGGTCCTGCATCCGATGCAGAGCTGGGGCCAGGACCCTCTGGGAGTGGGGTGCTGCCTCCGGAGCCTTTGGAGTCTGGCAGCAGCGAGGCAGAGGACCCAGGGGAGCCTGTTCCCAGTGTGCGTGTGCGCAGAGCTGCTAGAAGATGAGAGCAGCTGAAACAAAAGGGACGACTTGGGAGTAAGGCTGGGAGATGATTGCCCCTCCCATAAGGGATAAAAGTCAGACCTCAATGACGAAACCTTTGCAGGAAGCAAAGTCGTTCAATAGATTCCGAGTCCTCCTGGTACTTCGGTTGGTTTCTGTTATAATTAATTGGATACTTTTGTTTTTGGCAGCATTCCATAGCACCGAAAAGTGTGTGCCTATCTTGAGGAACTGTTTAAGATTAGTTCTGGATGGGGATGAAAGCAATTCCCAGTGTTGCAATAAAATAGGTTTTGCTTTTAAAACAAGTTTGTTTTTAATTACGTCTGATGAAGCCTGGGTCAGAACAACTAGCATCTTGTGCTGCCCTGACAAACGGGACTGCACGCACTGACCTTCAGGCCAGAGTCTCATCTCATCAGGTGGGTGGGAATTCTGGCAAGAGATACAAAGATGGAACATCAAGTAAGTGGAGATTTGTTTGTAGCTTTTGTGTTTCTCTTACTTCCCTGCATCTTGTAGCTTGCATGTGACTTGAGTTAGATCAGAGGCCCCCAACCTTGGCAACTTTAATACTTGTGGACTTCAACTCCCAGAGTTCCTCAGCCAGCATAGCTATGCTGGCTGAGGAATTCTGGGAGTTGAAGTCCACAAGTTTTAAAGTTGCCAAATTTGGGGACCCCCGAGTTAGATCAACTTCAGGGGAGAGTCCTGAAGGTGATAGGAGTTGGAGTTGTAACAGCTCACGGGTGCCTAGCTGAAGATTGATAAGTTTCTGTGGGGGCCATCATTTGTTGGATGGTGCAGCAGTTTTTCAGTGAGATTAATCAGTGTGGAGGACACACCCTTGTTCAACTGGACATGAACAAGGAGCCAAGACCTACTACATCCTGCCATATGACTGGTTTAATTGGCAGAATAACAGAATTGAAGGGGACCTTGGAGGCCTTATAGCCCAATCCACTGCTTGGGCAGGAAACCCTACACCACTTCAGACAAATGGTTATCCAACATCTTTTTAATAACTTCCAGTGTTGGAGCACCCTCAACTTCTCGAGGCAAGCTGTTCCACTGATTAATTGTTCTGTCAGGAAATTTTGTTTTAGTTCTAGGCGGTTGGTTCTCTCCTTGATTAGTTTCCATCCATTGCTTCTTGCCTGTCTGTCCGGCAAAGAAAGCATACTGCTCAAAGGCAGGATGGAAACTAGCCATAGCGTCTTCAAAGTGTGAAGAAGCTTCTCCCTGGGGTGCATAGCTGTCTGTGGGGGATAGCTGTGTTTCTGGTTGGGTATGGCGTGACTGAGTGTGACTGGGTGTAAATGATTTTGATTGTTTGGTGTATAAAAGATGTTGTGCTACAGACAGAGGTGGGACGCTTCTTCTGGTTCAGACTGGTTCTACTGAACCGGTTGTTCCAGTGAGCAGTTGGCCCTGCCCCCGTGCCCCTGCCCTTTCCTGTCCTATATATCCGTTTTTTAGGCCAGCTGATTCACGTAGCACAGCAGATCGCCACACCTCAGCTGTTTTACTCACCAGCGCTGACCTAGAAGGTAAGTTTTTAAGCTTAAAATGGGCAGTTTTTGAACGAAGCGCACACTCACCTAACCGGTTATTAAACCGGTTGCAGCCCATCACTGGGTACAGATTGATTCTTGGGCACGTACATTGGGACTGCGAGTATGGGGACTGTGGTCTATGAGTAACATCTATGTAACTATGTAAAGTTCTGACAGGCCTATCAGTGATAGCCAAACTGAAAGTCCTTGATTAAAAACAATAGCTCCTTCATTCTAGTTACCTATTTTCAAAAACCTACTTATTCCCTCTATCCTTTCTTCTTTGCAAGCTAATACATCTTAAACAGCCAATTCTTTTAAATCCTTAAATGCATCAATCTGAAGAGATTATGTGGGGTGGGAGAATGGGGAAATGATGTAGACTGGCAACAATTAGACTATTTCTACCCTTATTTACTTTTATGTACTTATACTTCAAATTTAGAGATCTCCCACCTTCTCTGTTTTTCCCCAGGGAATTTTTTTTTAAATTACAAAACATTAACCAACTTGTTTATTTACTTATTTGATCAAATTTATATAACTGCCCATCTCATAACAAGAGACTTTGGCTGTCAGGTAGTCAATAAATACTAAAAAATATTATAATTCTTATTTAAAGAAAACTATAAAAACTAAAAAAAAGAAGGATTAGGCAAAGAGTCATTTCCGTTATTGTAGCCCACTTAGTTCCCAGGGCTGATGGCACAATCAAAAAGTCAAAGTGATGAAACAACTCTCACTTCAGGGGAAGGATATTCTATAGATTGGGTGTCAAAACAGAGAAGAACCACTGCCTGAGACCCACCAAATGTAGCTCCTTTGCCCATGGAACCCATGGCATGTTATCTCTGTTGGATTTGGTGAGATGCATTGGGAGAGGCAGCCCTCAAATATACTGCCCATTGTGCCAAGTAGGGCTTTAAAGTCAAAGCCAGCATCTTGTAGTTGAGTGCGATGCCCATGATGGATGTTTGTGACTTCCTGCTGGCTTCCCCATTGACTTTCCTTGTTGGAAGGTGGCAATGAAGATCACAAATGGTGATAATCTGATCACATGATGCTGTGATATCATTGCAAGCTGATCTCCAAGTACCCAGATCACAATCATGCGACTCCTAGGGACACTGCAACAGCTAGAACTTTTGAGTCTATTCTATTCTATTCTATTCTATTCTATTCTATTCTATTCTATTCTATTCTATTCTATTCTATTCTATTCTATTCTATTCTATT